TTTCAATTTCTGTAACTCAAATAATTATAATTAAAATGAAAATAATCACATTTCAGGATTTCGGTTTTAGGGCCTGAATTTTCCTCAGGGTAAATAACGAATTTACCCAGTCAAATATTTTAGAGCTTGGCATAACTTGTAAAATGTATATTCAATACACAAAATGCCCATGGTGTTTTAAAATCTTATTAATTTACATGACTTTTCCAGGTCTGGAAATCACACCTTTAAAATGAGGCTTTCTCATATATCCAGGTTTTCCAAGATTGTGTGAATCATGGTTCTTCAAAGGAAACAAACATTGAGGCGGTAAATTAAATTATTATAGTGCTTCATATAATGCTTTTTTAAACCATTGTAAGTCATCTTGAGTCACCTTTGGATGTTTGCTGAGGCCTCCTGGTTGGCCCCAGCCACCTGGTTGAGAATCACTGCTTTACAGCAGATTTATTACTGTATTGGCTTATTCAAATCTTATTCACTAATAATCTCAATCACTAATTTTGGGTCTCGTGATATTTAAAGAGGTACATTTTTTTTAATTAACCAACTAAATCTAATAATATAAGCTTCACCTTTGGCAGTTTAAAGACTTCAAATGCTCAATTTAAAGACATTTTCTGTTTGCAGAACAGTTAGAAAAAAAAGTAGTATGCAATAGCATATTAGTAACGTAAGATGGGTCTAAATAAGGTGCAAACGTGTACCTTTGAGGGCATATCCCCAAGCAGAATTTTTGCACAATTTATCTTATACTGTATGTTTACCCAGTGGTCTAATTGTAAAAAAAAAAATTCAAGGGGGATGTATGGTCAAGTATTTCTTTGGTGGGGCAGGGGTCCTGTAGCTAACTTTTACATAATGATTACCAAATTTGTCTAATTTTTAAATACATTTTTTATTTACTGCTAAAACTTCACTGCATTTTCAGTGGTGCCTTACAGCATTCATTAATAGCATTTGAAGTTTATTTCTATTTTTCTGTAACTGATTTTGTGTTTTATGGCTGTTAATGAGCAATTTGAGATATGAGTGTTTTGCAGTGAGATTTATATAATACTCTGTTATTATAGGAAAAAACGCTGTTCATGTATTCCTGCTTGATAAATTGACTGCGGTATTGACCTCCTGTCTATGAATGTTCATGATTTTGATGACACTTACTACCCTGGTAAAGAAAGGGTAGGTTTGGGTTCAGGTTCATCCTCATAGTGATTGGTTTCTGCACACAGACACCGATTTAGTGTGACCCTGCTGCTTTTGAGTTCCCATGGCAACAATCAGACACTGAAAAGAGTGTAAAACAGGCTCGTACAGTACAAGCACTGTAAATGATATGCAACATCTGTGCAACATGTGATTTGAACTGCATAGTTGTGTTAAAAGTGTGCAAACACACAGACTATCAATTTATTGCGTGAAGATGAATTGTAATCACGGATTGTGCAATAAGTGGAGTCCTCTCTGACCAAAAAGACTTCAAGGGATAGTGTAGTTCACCCAAAATTGTTTCTTGTGTGTCTCAAAACAGATAGATACTGTATGTGCATATTTAAATGGTGGGGGAGGAATTTTTCAGTGAATATTAACTGAAAACCGCTTATGAACCCATTAAAAGCAGTGCTAAACGCCTTTCAAAATTACTAATACAACATGTAGCTTAACCCAGTGTCAAAACTGTGTTTTAAAAACATGATAATCCAGAGTTAACGTAGTATGAAGCCCAGATGACACCACTTTTTTTGGGTGAACTCTAATAACATTTGGTGATAACAACAATATCTGTGGATTCTCTACCATGGTAAATGTGCATGCGGTGTTGTCTCTGCTTCCAAGAATGCCTGTTACAATGCTTTCATATTTTTAGTTTGCATTTACCATGGTATACTAACACACATCTGAAGAACAGGGAGTTTCTTCTCTCCGGTATTTTACTCCGGTATTTCTCCGGGATACCGCTGCAACAAACTTGTCTTATCTTAACTTACATTTTACACTAACTCTGTTTGTCTTTCTTCCCAGTGCTAATAACAGTGGACATCGGTGATTAGGATTTTCTTATTTATACATTCAGTAGTATTTATTCATATTTCTTCATAATCTAATATTTAAAGTATTATCCTATCACAGTATTGAATACTGCTTTAATCAAGCAAGAAGCTGTTGTACTTGATACATCGTCTGATGCACTCTAATGCTTCAGAAAACCAAACGATGAGATTTAACTGACTAGAGAGCATTTAACAGTGCTCCTCCTTAATAATACATTGACTAGTGATGTCTCATATATTGCATTTATAGTACTTGACCCTCCTATGTGCATCTTTCAGTAATCTAAAGCTAAGTGGGCTAAATCTGGTATGATGCCAGTCATACCCTGCATAGTCGTGACATTCAAAAACATGCAGCTATTGCAGTTCACTTTATTTCATGATATGTTGGGGTATGGTATCTCTTTGTGGCAGTGCTTTAGTATTGAATTTATTCTTAAATAGTATTTTAGCTAGTTACGTAACTGCTTTTATCTGCAGTATTGTTATGGCATCAAGTACTCATTTTTCACAAAATATACTTTGAGTTATTGTACTTTTTTACATAGGCTTGTGCTTTGCAAAATCATACAGTGGAGGCAAAAGTTTGATGTCACATTGAAAATCTGGTATTCAGTGTCAAGAAAGAAAGAGTCATTTTAAAAAGAATTGTACAATTTTGGGGGATTTTGAAAATATAAAATTAAGAAATGTTAAAGGGTTAGTTCACCCAAAAATGAAAATTAGCCCACAAATTACTCACCCTCAAGTCATCCTAGGTGTATATGACTTTCTTCTTTCAGACGAATCCAGTCGGAGTTATATTCAAAATTGTCTTTGATCTTTAAAGCTGTTTAATGCCACTCAGCGCGTGTTGCATGCATCAGTCCAAAAGAAGTTAAATAAAAAGCACACATCCATAAAAAAAAAAGTGTCTCACACTGCTCCGGGGGGTGAACAAAGGCCTCCTGTAGCGAATCGATGTGTTTTTGTAAGAAAAATATCCATATTCACGAGACTCACCGGCGCATGCGCAGTGCTGACCTCATACCTCATCAGCCCAGAACTGCTTCTGTGTAGGACTGTTGGCGCAAGCTACATTAAAGTGATTATTACATTTTGAATATGGATATTTTTCTTACAAAAATGCATCGATTCGCAACAGGAGGCCTTTGTTCACCCCCCGGAGCCTTGTGAGACACTCTAAACTTGAGAAACTCTACAAGTTTGTGTAAAACTTGTTTATGCAGCTCAAGTGCTGTTGTCATTAAACCTAAAGAGGGCTTTTTTATTTTAAACTTTTAACACAAAACCTTGTGCAGATAATAATTTGTACTAAAAACATTAAAAGTATATATTTTTTTTCAATCTAAGTTTGGAATATAATATATATATATTTTTAAATGCAGACCTGAAGCATTTAGTCTCAGATCTTTGCACTCCACTGTATATCAGCTGCTTTTGCCAGGAATCTCTGAATGTCTATTGGTATATCAAAACAAGGAGACTGCATGGATCCAAGCTGGCCTTGACATGCCCTGCATGCATAGGCCCTAAAATGTGTTTAAGATGATGAACTGTGTCATTTACTAAATGAACAATCCAGTGCCCTTAATCATCATAGTTTCTTATGCCCTCAAGCTCTCCCTTTATCTTTCCTTCACTTCTGTCTCTCCATGTCAGTTTTTTCTGCTATGTTGGTATGTAAAGCAGGCTCGTTAATGGCCAACATGATCCCTCCCCTCCCCATACCTCCCATCTCTACTGTGTTTCCTGTCGCAGGAGTCCTCTTACCCCTCTGCCTGGCATAGAACCCTACTGGGAAGGGCAGGAAAGGAGTAGCTGCAGGCCTCCGTCCTCCAGTCCTCTGTGAGTGCCTGCACCTTGTTCAGCAGTGTGCACTGCCTTATGTCGCATGCGTCCCATGTGCGCTGCTGGCCACGGTTGTTTTGGCAGGCTGTGAACCCATGCGCTATACACAAAGGAGACTCAAATCTTAAGACTTTGTCGCCTTTTGGCACCCTGCCCGACTCACACATTTACGGTTAGGACCTTGAAATTAATGTGTAAGTAAGGTGTGCAGTATAGTTGACACCTAAATAACACTTTACAGTTGTTTTTATGACTGGAAGTCATTCTCCTCAAATGCTATTGAGCCTTAAATTTCTGTTTGAGCCCATTCAGTTTTGGAAAAAGTAGCATATTTTACATATGATTTACAGTTTATTTTAACAAATATCAAAAATGTAAAAGGTGTGCATTATAGTTGACACCTAGATGAACACTTTACAGTTGTTTTTATGACTAAGTAATTCTCCTCAAATGCTATTGAAATTAGAAAAGTGTACACCAATATCGCATGTAACCTTAGAGACTGTCCCTAAATTTGCAAATATCGAACGTCCAACGTCAAGCCAACTTTATGCCAGTACTAAGCAGACTGTGTTTGTCAATACTTGTGACTTGTGACCAATGTGTTTTTGTGTCGCATTGTGTTTCTGTGACCAATTAATGCAGAAAACCAACTAATTACAAAGGTTTCACATATTTTTCTTACCACTGTATTATGTTTGACTTTGTTCACATACACACAGCACATTCACTTGAAGCGATTATATACTACTGTGTATAGCAAATCTCTACTGCCTCATTTGTTTGTCTCAAAATGTAAATTATCACCCAGTTCTAATGTGCTAAATGTGACTGTAAAGAATGAGGTTAGTAGGATATTATAAACATAAACATTATAATTTTCTGTAAAGCTGCTTTGAAACAATCAGTATTGTGAAAAGCATTATGCACATTCATTTTGAAAACAAATATTTAATAAGTTTCATATATAGCCTCTATAATATACTCCCCACAAACCTTTTTGCTTACTAGACTTCCATTATAAGTGTATTTACCCGCATTCCATTTATAAATTAAAGGACTCAGAATTGTTGGTGGAAACTGACAGCATACCGAACTTGCAGTCCATAGACTTTAGGTTGTAAATAACCTGGTTAATACCTTTAATTTGTTAGTTTTAACGTGTCCTGCAGAGGGCGACCCAGCACCTTTCATTTGATTATAAGGCAGCGCATTAAGAGCTGTGGAATCCTCTTCACAGAACTGGGTCAAATTTGTCATGAACGCTTGTCATAACACTAGCTTTTATACGGAATTAAGTAAGCAAGCAGACTTTAAATCATATTTAGCCTTTTAATAACATTTCTATCATATTTCACACACAATCATCCCTGAATCAAATTTAATACAGGTCTCTGAACTCTCATCAAGTCACCTATTACATGGCTGACCCTGCACTTTGAGATGAATCCGAAGGTGTGTGAGATGAGGGTGTGGATGTGAGTTTTGATTCTCTTGTAATGCAGTCACATCTCTATTTAGTTAAGCCTCCCCAGCTTACTCTCAGTTCTTCTTGGCGTTATTCTCACTCCTGATGGGTCTCTCTGGGTGATCTGCTAATTTTCTTCCCAGTATTTTTTTCCTCCACAGGTTCACATTTTCAAAAGTTATCTATCTATCTATCTATCATGCATTTATAATGTATATGGTAAACACTGTTAATTGTGTATATATATATATAATATTTCATAGTTTCAGTTTTATAATAATAATATGAAAGGGGTCATATGATGTGGCTAAAAAGAACATTATTGTGTGTATTTGGTGTAATGAAATGTGTTTATGCAGTTTAAGGTTCAAAAAACACATTATTTTCCACATACTGTACATTATTGTTTCTCCTCTATGCCCCACCTTTCTGAAATGCGTCAATTTTTACTGAGCTCATCGGTCTGAAAAGCGAGGTGTGCTCTGATTGGCCAGCTATCCAGTGTGTTGTGATTGGCCGAATACCTCAAGCGTGTGACGGAAATGTTACGCCCCTCACCATATTGTGATGCTGTGTCCCGGCCGGAGCGACGAGACAAAAAACATTAAAACCGATTATAAACGAGGCATTTGTTGCATCCAGTGGGGACATAATTACTGATTATAATGACTTATACTGTCTTTTTATGCGTTGCGTTGCATCGCGTGTGTAAACATAAAACCATGTCTGCATTTGTGATCGGAGAAATGACAAACAACAAGCACTACTCTACACTGCCCAAAAACTCCTTGTAACACTCCAAAGAGAAAGGAAAACTTGAAATCACATATGACCCCTTTAAAATATTTTTACTTGCTGTATTCTACATAATGCATTGCATGCGAACTTTTGTGCTACAACACATTTACAGTAGTTTAAATAACGTTGCACACATTAAGCCCACAGGCTGCCAAGGGCTGGCCTGCACTCTCTTTCATGTGTCTTAATCACCTCCATAATGTTTGTTTCAGATTTCTCCCTCCCAAGGACTTGAATCTCTGCCTGTATGTCACCAACACACCCTTGCACACCAGAGGTTAACGTGCAGCAGCGGGTGTTCCTGCGTTCAGATTGCTTTTTGTTACAGTATTGTTTTGTTAGTGGATTTAACTTATATAAACTTATATAAATGGTAAACACTGCACAGTCCTGGCACATTGTGAAGCTTATGCACTTTGTGTTGTTATTTGTAATTGCTTTGACAGTGAATGGTAATAGTAGATTGAGCTTTTAATGAGATATTCTGTGCCAAAAACTGTATTAACTGTGGTACTATATTGCCTGACAATCATTCTTAAATGTTCAGCTTAATTAGTCCAGAAAGATTTTGAATTGTGTGACCTAAAATGTTTGTATGAATTTTTCATGTGCCATAGAATCTGAATCGAGTCTTAGTTTGAAGGTTGTTTTAAGTTATTATAAAGTTTAGGAGAAATTAGCATGGAAGGACAAGTAAAGCCAGAAAAGGTTTATTTTGGTGGCCTCTATAAGGTCTGATACCATCTTCGTGTCTGCAATCCTGAGGTCATTATCTTTCATAACAACATTTAGTAGGACAACAACTTGAAATGATCAGCTGATAAGGATAATTACACCTAAAACACACACTGAATCTTTGATGTTTTATCATTGTTTTTATCTAAAACATGTTTACTCTTGCAAAATGAAAGCACAGCCTTGTTGACAAGCAAATCAATGTCCGATCAAACCTGTCTGTATATTTAGTTTTCTTTTCATTCTCTTAACAGACATGTTTAATATTATGCCTCTAAACATTTGTTAGAACAATGGTGGGAAGTTTCTTTGGTGGGGACTTTCTTTTGCTGAAGAGTGTGTATTGTGTGTTCCCTCTGCTTGGTTGGGGAAAAGCCTGTTTTATTGTGCACTGTATTGTTGCTTGGAGCAGGCATAACGTCATTGCACCTGAATGGTGGTCATCAGTAGGCAGTTGCCATGGAAACCAAGCTCCATCACCGCAGCCATTACAAGCGAAAGTGCATGGTGTAATGATTCAGCAAAAACAAAGCTTCAGCCATTACATGTATATTTGTTACTGAATAAAGTATTATGGCTCCAACATTTTCTCTCTTCTTTTCTGGACTATGCTTGTTATTTCTCATTGTTTGGTCACATAAATACTCTCAGTTGAATATCTAGGAAAATGTCACCATCTATGATTAATGAGGACTCATATTGTGATGTCTACCATTCACACACACACACTAAACACATTTCTTGAGAAAACAATACTGTTAAAACTGAATTAGTTATTACATTCAAACAGTGGTGACTGGAGAGTATAAGGCCTTAACAAGGATGAGTTATGACAAGATATATCCAGAAGAAAGAGTGGAAATTACAACCAACAATCAGACTCATTGTAATCATATGTAATCATCTCTTAGATTTCAGGGTGCTACTTTATGGGGCCCAAAATAATCGTGTAATTATTCTCATGACCTGTGTCCTAGATATTTTCAATCTGATTTGAAGATTACTGATTGCTTTTAATATGTAAAGTAACATAAAGATGCCTAAAAAGCAAATAATCTAAATAATAGGTTACTTTTAGCTCACATGATTATGACCTTAAAGTAAACAAACCACTTAAGCAATCATTCTGGTTAATGCTAAAAAAAGCAGTTGCACTCTTAAGAATCTTATCTTAAGAAATGTTTCAAATGTATGTCAAAAAATTTCCAGAAAACAGTTCATTAACTTACTAACAATGATAGCAATCATTTCAAGTAAATAAGCAAGTTTCAGTTGCTGACATGTATATATACTGTTGGATTTTATAGCTTACGTCATGCTCCCCTTACCTGTCACTTTGAGAGTTGTGGGTGTGATAGGATACCTTGAAGTACCTTGTGTGCGAGACTGTCAAAAATCTTTCACAGTGTGTGTTGGTTTGTTTTGGTGTATTATAAGTATATTTGAATCACAGGTATTCCTCACCTCAACAAATGAGAGCATTTAGAAGAGTCACTAAGATTGTCTAAGACATATTTTTACTTGAAACTACAATGACCGTGACATAATTCATTATTTATTCTTCTTTCTTTTTCTTTCCCATTTTTATAGATCATCTTCTGGAAAGGTTAGTCCAGAAAGTGTCCGCTCCATTGGACCTCCTTCAGAGTCCTCAGAGGATGGTTTACGAGCTAAGAAGTTTCCTCAAAGTCCTGCCAAGGAGAAGGAGCTGTCTTTATACAAGAAGACCAAGCGAGCAATAATTAGCAAGAAATATAGCGTCTCTAAGCACGAGGTGGAGGCTACCACGCCAATCGAATTGATCAGTCGTGGCCCAGATGGGCGCTTTATCATGGAACCTACAGATGCGGAAACTCCAGTTAAGGCACGGCGCATTGAGGGATTCCCCTTCGTTGAGGAGTCTGACCTGTACCCTGAATTTCGACAGTCAGATGAGGAGAATGATGATCCGGGGCCCATGCCGCCTATGATGGCTACCCTCAGACCCCATCAGATCTCCCCCATTTCTTCTAGCCAGGAGTCTTACTTGCAGCCCCCAGCCTACAGTCCCCGCTTCCAGAGGCCAATGGAAGGCATGACTATCATGGAGACCAGTCGACTCCAGGCTACAGGGCAGATTCGTGGTGCTCCTCACTTCCGAGCCTTTTCCCATGGCCAGTTCTACAGGTACTTAGGAAGTCCAGGGGAACCTGAGCCTCCACCTGCTTTCTACATGCCAGACACCAGCCCTCTCAGCTCAGTAATGTCTTCTCCTCCTTACCACCTGGAGGGACCTTTTGGTCATCCCACCATCCCAGAGGAAATCGGTGAGGGAGAGATTCAGCATTATGCAGTCTCTGGCTACACCCTTCCCTTGGCGCACCCCTCCACCTCGCGCTCCCCAGACATCTGGCAGCGACCTGATTTTACCTTTGCCACAATCGAGGGTCCTCACTTTATTTTTCCACCCCCACACCCTTTGCATCTTCATCCGGAACCTCCCCTTCCTCCCCCTCTTGTTCTTCCTCCTAGTGCCCTCCAGCCCTCCACCCTTCAAGTATCTCCTTACCCTGGTATCCTGCAGCTGGAGGCCCCAAAGAGCCGCCCAGGCAAGTCTCCCAGCAAGGTCAAGCCTCAGGGCCTTCCAGCCAAGCGTTTACCTATGCAAGAGGCACAGAGTCTAGGGCAGCTAAGACACACAAGCCACGGTATGGGTGTACCGGTATTGCCTTACCCTGACCCGGTGTCTCACATGGTTGGCCCAAGCTCATTTGGAAGCCTGGATACCCGATGGTACGAGCTTACACCCAGGCTTAGCCCAAGGCAGCCCCGTAGGATGGAACCCAGCATGGTAGTTCTCCAGCCATCCCGCCTCTCACCTCTAACTCAGAGCCCTATTAGCTCTCATGAAGGCTCACCGGAGATTGTAGTACGCCCCAGGCCCCGTCCCAGTGTCATCCAACCCCCGATCCCTCCAGAGATGTCTGAGATCACCCTTCAGCCTCCTTCTTCAGCTAGCTTCTCTAGAAGGTCCACCCCCTCCTCCTCTCCTGCTCAAGGCCAAGGCAGCCGAAGGGCAAGTCCCAGCTACCGATCCCACATGGCATTTGACACCTCAGCAGCAAGCTATCCGTCACAATCCCCTTCACCTCCTGTAGAAAGCAGCAACATTTTTGGGCAGATGCCAACCCAGAGGAGGACTGAGGAGGAGATCCTTCCATCAGAACCCTCTCCACCCCAGTTATCAGCTTCAGGGTAGGTGCACTAGGCCTGTAGTGTGTGGATTGATAAACCATGTACCATCTGGCCTAAGTGTAACATCTAGGACCCTTCAGGGGTCTCAGTGCAGAAATAACCACACTTTTGATTTTAGTCTAAAGCTACAGTTTGCACACATGGGCAAAATTATGTTTGCTGCTTGCCTTAAGCTGGTTTTAGTAATGTTAGAGCTCATGCTTTCATAGATACACTGCCCCAGATGCCTTGCTTTATTCAAAACCATTTAAAAACCATTTTCTACATAGACAAGTTGTGCTATAGTTTTCTATGCCACTAATTCTGCTTTTCATGTCAGGCATCCAATTTCATTCATAAGGTCTGTGAAGCACTTTAAAGCACTTGTCTTAGATCAAAAGTGAGCGACATTAACCAAATGTGGTTGAGGGGTAACCGAGTCAAGTCAAGATGAATTATTTGCTTCACAGACGTGGTGACAGACCTTTTAGGGCTACGTGTCTGGAGAAGTTCCATTTTAAGTTGATTTAAAATGCAATAACGAAGCCCCTAAAAAGCCTGGAATCAGAGGTACACCACCACAGGATCTCAGCCTTTCCATTCACTGTCATGCTTTACCCTGCCTTTCACCCAACAGGAGGAACCCCACATGTGCAATAAAATTGACCAATCCCAGTTCAAATGAAGCCCACTGTTTTGACTAACTCCAGGCTTTTTAGGACGACTCTCAGAATGTATGATGTAGAGGCTGAGGTTGGTGTGTCCAGTACAACAAGCACAGGGCTCTTCTCCTGTTCCAAAGTAACCTGACAGCATGATTGCCTTTTCAACGCTCCCCCCTCTCTCTGGCCTCCTGTCACCCAGGTCACCCCAGCTCTGACTGCCAGGGGTGGCTTGTTGGGCGAAACGTGTTGCAGGGACTGTCTGCTCTCATCTGTTGCTATGTCGCTATCATCTTAAATAGGGCATTTGGTCATTCTTGATGACTCCTCGAGTCTTACCTGCTTTGTTTTTGATTGATCTCAGCTATCTGGGCAGCGTTGTTGTGACCAGGTCTTCTACACCACAATAGGTAAGGGTTGGATCCATGTCTGAAAGGGGGGGGCAGCAGGTGGGGCTTTTATTCACCTCGTCCTTTAAAGGGGAATACAAGTCTTTGGGTCTTGCTTTCCTTTCGATTATTACCAAGTTTACTGATTTTTTTTTATATTTGTTTTCAGATAGCCACATATTTTAGTTCTGCAGTCTTGAACCCTATATGCATTCTGGTCTTAGTATGCATATGCACGTTTCCCAGTTATTGATTAGGAAACCCAGCACATTTCATTTAATCAACACAACCTCATGCTTGAGATGCAATAAAAATAAAAATAAATGTCAAGAACAGAGCTATAATATTGATTTTATGAGAATTCGCCATTTAGGTAACCTTCCTGGTAAAATTCCTGTTTATAAAATAAATGTGCTTCTAAAAGAAGGTTTATATTAAATGACAACACAAACACTACTTGCAGTAGCTGGGAATTTGAACTCAACCTGGATAAAGGTGACCATTTGTTAGGGACCGTCTCAAGCAGGAGTTGCATGTTATACTTCATTTTAGGTATAGGAGCTTTTTATTGCTTGAAAGTAATTCAAGTGATTTAAAAACCATGAGCCTTGCACAGACACCTTGTGTAATGAAATTCTCCATTTTTTTTGTATAATCATGATTGATCTAGTGTACACGCAGTGTATGCATAAAACTGCACTTGTTTTGTGTAAATTTGGACTGCAGAACACATTTCACAATCATGCGAAGCAAGTTTTCTTCCAAAGCGGTTCCTGCACTTCCTTTACAATGGGGAAAGTACTATCGGCACCAGAAAATGCTCTTTAAGTTTGTTCTGCTCTTTAAAGCAGAAAAAGCTTTTTAAGTTGTGGCTTTCACCCAATGAAGTGCTTTTCCAGAGTATTCCCCTTTAAAGTTCTGTTCCATGTGCAAATTGCCATGCATGCCATTGCTAAATATTGCTCTTCAGTTAAAAAAGAAACAAATATCTGATTAAATTCTTGTTACATTTGTTGTCCAAGTGCTTTGTTTTATTTTTCATTATGTGACTGTTCCCAAGTAGCCATTTTCCCCTCCCGCCATCTCTCCCCCTGTCAGCATGGTGAAGCCCATTGTAGACAGTATTCATGTCTATGAGCACATTTCTGACAATGCTTTGTCGCTGAGCTGTGATTTTCCCCCCTCAACTAATGGCCTTTAATTTCTCTCGGCAGCCTCAGCAGAAGGACGGCCCTTCTATAATGCTATTTTTGTTATTTTATTGTGCCTAGTGAGAGCTGTGTGTGTGTGTGTGTGTGTGTGTGTGTGTGTGTGTGTG